ATCATTAAAAATAATTAATAATTAATAAAATAATTAATATTTATTATTTAATAAATTACAATAAATTTATAAATTAATATTTTAAATATTATAATTATATATTTAAAAAATTTTATAAATATCAATAAAATTAAATACAAATTTAATAGGTTAAACAATTGCATTCGTAGCCATTAACACACCCCTCATTTACTAGTGAAATCTGGGGAATTTATGAACACAAAAAAATGGGATTGACGTCGATTTTCTGGTTGATACTGCAAGCCACGCCTTTACTTTTTGGTTGATTTGATATGATATTGACAGGATATGAACGGAAAACGTCATGTTGATAAAAACGAAGTGTATCAGGGTTAGAAAAAAGAAATTATTAGAAAAAAAAAAAAATAAATGCTAGCTAGCCTGTTTAATTTGAATTTGTTGGGAATGCAAAGCCAGCAAAGGAGGCAAAGTTGCTCAGATGTTGGCATGAGGTGAGGTAGAGGTTTTCCCAAGAAAAGACTACTTAAATCTTATTTTTGATTTATTTTTTAATTTTTCTTATAACATCGTATCACTGAACTAATTTTATGTGTATTTATAAATTATTTTATTTATATTTTTTAAACTAAACTGTTATTTTTTAAAAAAGTGATAAAAGTAATTTATTAAAATTATTTCTAATTAAATAATAATAAAAGAAACTCAAACCTACGTTATTAAGCATAATTTGCATCCATTCTTAACACTTCAGGCAATCTCAATGGGTTAATCTTATCAGTTGATTAACCCCTCAAAGTCGCAGCAAGAAAACATGTTCAAAGCTGCATATATACTTAATTTCTGCATTTTTTGTAGTTGGCATATTGCTATAATATATATTTTTCTTATGCAGAAAGAATTCTTATGATTTCAGTTTGTCTATAAATTTATGGGTATTAGGTGAAATACCAGACAAATTAATCAATGATATAATACCAATTGGAAGAAAGAGTTGTGATTACGGACAAGCTGGTCTGTTAGCTGTATTAAGAAACATAAACTACCTTTTCATTTCAATGATGTCCACTACTAAGACTATCTTTAAATATGATTACTAACATATATGAATCATCTTAAATTTTAAGTTAAAAATCTTAAATTTATATTTAAGGTTAAAAACAGGGCAAGAAGAGAATTTAAAAAACGGGATGACAGTGAATGACAACAAAAAAGTCTATAACGCATCTATGAGTTCCAGCTAGTCTTATTTTAAAAGGGATCTTAGTAAATAATCATATCAGTTAATTAATTTAATTAACCAACAAAGCTGGGAAGCTACTAACCTAATTGGCCAAGGTTTGATATTAAATAACTTAATTAGAACGAGATGGTCAGTGAAGTGTCATGTACTGATTGATACATTCACCAACAAATTCATCATCATTTGCACTATAGGAAGTTATTTATTGAAAAACAAGGCTATTAAAAAAAAAAATTGGAAAAGAAAACATAGAACTTAAATTTCAAAGATTGGTTCAATATTGGGTTGGACTTTGCGATGTGGTAATTGCAATTTTGGATGTCATTATCTGCCACCCCGACTAAAGTCCAAAAGGAGAGTAATGGCTCTTAGTGATATTTATGTTCGGTGGTATTATGAATCAGTTTTTTATGACATATTAAATTTAGTTTTTAATTAAGTAAAATTGAATTTTTATGTTGAAATTAAAAATTTATAAAAAAAATTATATTTTTATTAATTTAAAAAAATTAAAATTTTGATTAGAAAAGTAGTTGGAGAGTAAATTTCCTTATCAACATCATCAATCAGATGACCACTCCTTTTGTATGTATTTGTATTTATCTTGAGATCACAAATTTAAAAGAGTCTAGATAAGAACTGATATTGGACCAAAGACACTCACACAATAGGCTTATCTGATTTTATTTCATAATCAAGATAGCCATTTTATTCAAAGAAAAAGAAAGAGAAAAGAAAGAAAAGGTGAGAAAAGAAAGAAAACAAAATGGAAAGATACCTTACACCTCTGTGGTCTTCAAGAAAGGCAAGTAATAGCAAGGCTGCCAATGATATAAAAAAGAAAAAAGTAGAAATATAACAAGGCTGAAAATGATGTTTTTCCCACTTTTTAAATTGATTTTGATGATTATATTCCACATTAGATTATGTGGTATGAGTGGCCAAAAAAATAGAAATCTGGTATGAGACAAATTTAAGGTACGGCTCCGGTGACCAGGTCCAAAGGCAACAGAATCTCCCTAAACCAAACATATAAGCTTTTGTCATCCCTAGAACGGGTACTCTGCTCATTCTGCTCCATTAGTATATACACTATGCGAATATTGATGATCAATACAGGATACTTCACTTGTCTTTAATTTGATAAAAAAATGTTCGTTTGTCTGCTTCGTCTAAACTACTGATCCAAGACACTTCTTAGTTGCAAAAAGTTTTTTTTTTTTTGGGTAAAAAAATGGTCTAAATGGCTCTTGACTTTATGGCTAAAAAAAATCTACGATCAAACAATTTGTACTCTTTTTTTTCTCACATTTACCCCACATTTAGACACGTGTTCCTTTGGCCCTTCCTTAGATTTCATTGTCCATTAATTTGAATAGCCTATTAATATAGGCTTGTCGCTGGTCCCACTATTATTAACACAAGACTTTAAATTAAAAATCTTTAAGTAGTAAATAAGTTTCAACCACTGAATATATTTGTCAATGACCAAAAAAAAAGCCTTGTAATATCTAAGGGCAAGCCTTAGAAAAATTGACAATTTATTTATTAGAGTGGAATGAGTTAAGTTTTTAAGATTTTAAGTTTTAAGTATTGCAAATGAAGAGATAGATATTTATAGTGTTTTTTTTTTAATAAAGTTTAACGTTATTTAATTACATATTAATTAAATTTCAATGTAACTTTTATATATCAAGAATTAATAAAAAAATTGAAAAATACTAATTACAATTATGTATATATAACTCTTTCATTTCTTATTGGCCATTGAGGGATAAGTAGATCATGTGCCAGCTCTCTCAGCCATTGCCTCTTTAATGTGGAAAGCAGGGTAATAGAAAGCACCATAGAGAATTTATATCCATTTTCCCAACCACATACATAAGTGTTGTGTGTGGACGAGTCAACTTCTTATGATGTTTTCTTTCAAAAGAATATCCACGAGGAGCAGCTACCATTCCACTACATGTTGATACCAAATTCGAAATATTTACAAGGAAAATCTATAAATATTAAGCAACAATGACGCAAAATTTGTGTAAATAAATGTACTGTGTGGGCTTACTCATACAGGCTTCAAAATTCAAACATATTGATGAACATCATCAATATATAATTATTGATGTAATTATATTGGTAATGGGAAGCGTTCGGAAGTATTGCTACTGACCTGATGAGATGACCCTTTTTGTGGCCGTACGTCCCTATTGTTGCTTTGTGGACACATTACCATTGGTTTGCATTGGTTCTGATTCTTTAGGAGGATATGTAACAATATACGACACAACATACATTTGTTTAAAAAAATTTACATATTTTTTATTTGTGAGTTACATAACATGATGTAACTCTTTTAATTTTATTTTTTAATTTAATCGAGTGCTATCATGATTTGATTTAGAATGTGAAAAAGGAAATTATTGAATACAAAAGAATCAGTCTTCTTCAATATATAATATGTGTTTCTAAGAGAGAGAAGATGAGTTGTGGGATGACAAGGGAAATTTCCCTTAACATCAATTGTTGGCAACTTTTGACAAAAGAGCCAAAAAGAAACAGAAACGTGACAATATTTACCAAGGCAAATATACATGCACATTAATCAGGCAAAGGCTACAGCTAACACACTAATTAATGTTGGTACTGTGTATATTAAGATCCTGGGCGAAATTGGTGTCCTACACGTATTTGAACGAGACAGATTAGTCATCATCAAAGTGAAAAGGATCCGAGTAAATGTGGGTTTAATTTAATTAATTAAATTGATTGATTGATTAAACAGATTGGTGTCATATGACTCATATATGCTTTTGTTTTTACCAAACGTCTATTACAAGTCCAAAATGTTAGGTCATTTTTTTGAACCGAGGGAAAGGGGAAATGGATTCACAACCTTTTGGAAATTTTCAATATATGTTAATTTCATTGTGTCCTTGCCCACAGAAAAAGTTAAGGAGTTTAGTTAATTCCCAACTGGTCATAAAAGTGTAATTATAACATGTGATGAGTCAAGTGGCCTAGTAATACGGTTCAAAAAAAAGACTAAAAAAGAGTGACCTAGTGATAGGTATGTACTTGCCTTTCGTTCTAAATTCAACCTCGAGAGGCAACTCATTTCCCCTCTCCCTCGACCTCCCCTTTAACATCTTACCATATAGTTGGAATTGCCTTGTT